GACATCTCTTCCTTTCTTTGGCCAAGCTGTGCTAAAGTAGATGATCCTAACAGATTTCAAGATCCCAAACCATAAATAGATTGACAGTGAGTGAGTTCTTCTCAAATTAATGAAAATCATTTAATCTTGGAACAGAACAGTGAAGCATTATAGAAGTTTCTGTTTGAATTTTTTTTTCTTCTGAATTTGAATGAATTATGTTTTCAGCTGCTTGTTGTACCTACTCTGCAACATACACACTGCCAGGCAAGTCCTTCTGAGAACTGCAAAAGGGACTGAATCAAGTAATGTTATGAGAAGATTCGACAGTGATCTGAATCAGCAGAGGGAAGTATACGGCAAGAGCGACTGTCTAATGCCCTCTCTAGCAGCATCCCTTCCAATGGCTCTCAGCTCTTTCCTGTCATTTTCTGCTTCATCATGAACCAGGTCCTTCATGATCCCCATGCGATCTGTTCCTACTTTAGGATAACTCCACATAACCACAGAGGAAGTCTTTTCCTCAACTTAGATAAAAATGTGTCTGTAGCTTTCACAAGACTTTTCCATACTCAAGCTGTCCCCTGAAGCTCTGCAAAACAAGTCTCATCCCACTCCCAACAGCCACTTCTTCAGACAAAGAGAGGGGTGCTCAGTTGCCTGATAAACTCAGTGTTCATTTCTGCTGCTGAAACTCCCCAAAGGCTGCAATTATTTCCAGTATACATAACAATCATTTAATCTGTCCCTGTTGATAGTGGAAAGAGCAGGGCAAATGTAATAATTCTGAGTTAACAGGACCATACTACTAACCAGGACTGCTGGACACTTGGTCAACTTATTCGTCAACAGTGGCCTGCTGATAACAACTCTCTTAGATATAAATGTCTGATTTGTAGAACCCCAATTCCTGTGGCATCTGTTCCAATCATGGCTATTTCAAGGCACTGATGTGAGGTATCAGGGTGGTAAGATTTGAGAGGTGTGCTCAGTTGGACCTTATGAGCTGGTGCAAAGCAATGTTGGCACAGTGCTGTATTAAAAGTCATGCCTTAGAGTTTGCTCAATGTTCTGGTTATTTCCTAAATGCCTCTTTTAAGATGCAATATATCTTAATTTATAATTAGAGGAGTGCTGATTGACCAGTCCTGAGACAGTCCAGGTTCCACTCAAAATTCTACTTCAAAGCTACTCTGAATGTAGTAAATCTGTAAGTATACAGAATAACTAGGAAGCCTCTCGCTTCTAATATTTGGGTCAGAAAAAAATAAATTGTCCTTTGGTGTCAGTGCTAGAAATAAAATTGGGTGGTCAATGCATCATGGTACATTCCCTCTAAATTATATTTGGAAGCAACCACTGATTCATTATTGAAACTTTTGGTATAGAAGAAAAAAAGAAACTGCATTTAAATTGCTGACTTATTAAGAGTGATGCTGCAAAATGATTTATTTTAAAGTCTTCAAATGCTTTCATATAATCCGTAAGCACTTAAGCCCTTATCATGAATTGCAGAATCTCTAAAAAATATTTAACTTAAAACTCAACTAATGAGTAA